CCCAAAGCGACACCAGTGATGATGCGCTGCGTGCTGTTTATGTGTGCCCTCTGCGTGTGGTGTGCCGGCGGATGTTCCGGTTTGAACGGGATAAGGCATGTAGAGGTGCCATATGCCGGCGGGTATGCGGTAAAGGCTGGAGAACAAGGTTCACATGAGCGTGCTGCTGAGCCTTGTGATCCTGGAAGCACTGTATCCGGAGGATCGTGCACTGTTGGAGGGGCAATTGTTGTGGATGCTGGCCCTGTCGGTTGTAAAGAACAGGGTATCTCTGAAGAGTGCGAAGGCCCGGGGGCTCCCGAGTCTTGCAAGGGGAATGTGCAACAGCCTTGCGGGGACCAAGGGAAGAGTGTGACAGGTGGGTCTTGCCCTGATGGTAAGAAAGAACCCTGTACAGGGTCTACGGAGGCTTTATCTGGATCTAACGTTGATGACGCTGCCGATGGCGGGCATGGTATTCACAAATTAACTGACGAGAATGATTCTTGTCCGCAAGATAAAAGGGAAGCGAATGGGTCGTGTGCGTCTTCACCTGCTGCCTCCAAGGCCTTAGTGAAGGGAGAAGACGGTAAAGTACGTGACCTAACTGCTTCTGGAGAAGGCGAGCGAGGAGATCGTTCTGGCGGCAATGGTGATTGCGGTAAGGGAAAAGGCGTTGATCGTTCTGCTGATTCCAGCGCCGCTGGCTCGTGTCCGAATCTACCGGTCAGCCCTCCAGATAATAATTCTCAGCTGCCAGCTCAACCCCAGCCACAACAACAGACCGGGCAGGTGGAGAGGGATGGAGGAAAGATGATCCCTGAAGAAGCCAATGAGCGTACCAACGATGAGCGACTTGAGCTTCAGAAGAGAGGTCACGTTTCTAGTGGTGGTGGTGCCAAGCACGACAACTTTAAGGAAGAAAAGAAGGAAAAGACCACCTTTCAGACGGACGCGAAAAACAGTGGAGACAATTCGGAGAGGGAAATCATTGGTGGATCCACAAATAACAGCAAGGAGGAACCAAGTTCTGACGCTTCACACTCAGCGGAGGATAATCACAAAGCTGGCAGCTCTGCTGAAGATAATCCAGCAGAAGAGACTACTAAGAAACCAAATTCCCAAGTCTCAGGTGAATCAAATGATTCGATGCAGCCGCAGTCATCTCATGCCCCTGCTTCCCTAAGTGCCCCAGAGGCCACAAACAAACCGAGAAACAACCCAGTGGTCCAGAACTTGAAGGACACAAAGAATGCGGACAGCAGCGTCAGTCTTGTGTGGTTGCATGCACCGCTGCTTCTGCTGACGTTGTTTGCAGTGACGGCTGTGTGATGAGCATCGTGGACAAGTAACATGCCTCCTCGCACTCTCTCTGTGTGTGCTGCAAGTTTATGGTGGATGTATTTATCCCCTCTCTTCCTAATGATTGCTTGGGGCTCAGCTGCTGCCCCTTTGTGTGGTTGTTTCATTTGTTTCTCTCTCTCTCTGTGTGTGATTGCGTATTGCTGACGCACCCATGGCGGCGGTGTGCACACTTGTGAGCCCATCCTGCCACTGCGCCGTCCTCTTCGCTGCGGAGCACATGCCCGTTGTGTGTGTGTGTGTCTTGTTGCTGCTGCCGTCCTCTTGCACATGCACCACACCGTGGCTGTGCTCGCTGGATGGATGCGTGTGAGGGGGCTGTGGGTGTGTGGCATCCTCGTGGTGTGTGGTGTGTGGTGTGTGGGGTGGAGGGTGCGTTAATCCTAATTGCTTTTCATTTCTGCCTGCATGTGCTCGTGGAGTACGATAACCCTTTTATTCTGTGTGTGTGTGTGTGCGAGTATATCCACACTGCAGTAGCAGGATGTCTGCATGCA